TTCTGGCCTTTGCTTACAATGTTGCGATCCTGCTGGCTGAAGTCCGGTTCTATTTGTTACTATGTATCTTAGAGTTGCAGCTCAGAGGCCGGCAAAGCAGGCGGGGAACGTTGGAGTCCTCCGTCACTGAAGCAAGCAAGCCTCATGTTCGCTTCAAGCTGCCTGGCTGCTGGCCGCCATCTTGGCTGGCAGTTAATTTGCATATCACCCTTATTAGCCAATGGGAAGGGTAGTGGTCATACGCTAATTACCATGTTTCTCTTTTATTAGATAGGATGTCACTATAAAGCTACAGTAACCGTAAAAGTGGTATTGCCAAAAAAAAAAAAAAATAGATGAATAGATCAATGGAACAGATTACATAACCCAAAAACCCATACAAATACAGTTAACTTATCTTTGAAGGAGCAAAGGTAATACAATGGACAAAAGATAGTCTTTTCAACAAATGGTGCTAGAACAAATGGACATCCACATGCAAAAAAATAAGTACAGACACAGATCTTACACCTTTTCCAAAAGTTAACTCAAAATAAATCATAGACTTAAATATAAAATGCAAAACTATAAAACTAGTAATATAAGAGAAAATCTAGATGATGTTGGGTTTAGTGATAACTTTTTAGATACATTTCTTTATAATTACCAAAATTGGGAACAACCAAGATGCCTTTCAGTATGTGAATGGATAAATAAAATAATGTGTGGCACATCACAGGGAATGGCTGATAATTTTCTAAGTCTAATGAAAGACAAGTTTATATATTCAAGATACTTAACGAACAGCAAAAAAGGATAAACACACTGAAGCAAACTGTTACAACAAAGCTAAAGATCAAATCTAGTAAGCAGCAGTAGAAAAGCAACATATTACATATAGGCCAGTAGTCGGCAAACTGCGGCTCGCAAGCCACATGCGGCTCTTTGGCCCCTTGAGTGTGGCTCTTCCACAAGATACCGACTTCTGCACATGGGCCACGAAGTTTTAATCGCACTGTGCGTGCGCACCCGCATGTGGTATTTTGTGGAAGAGCCACACTCAAGGGGCCAAAGAGCCACATGTGGCCCACGAGCCGCAGTTTGCCAACCACTTATATAAGGGAACAGCATTTGAATTCACTTCTGTTCTGACTTGGCATCAGGAATTAGAGGCCAGAAGAGAATGAAATAACCATGTTTGAATAATAGAAGAAGAAAAACCTGTCAACCCACAAGTTTATATCAAGTGAAAATATTCTTTCAGAATGCAAGCAAAATAAAGATATTTTTAAATAAAACTATTTCTGGCAAGATGTGCATTATTAAAAAAAAGGTACTACAGTATGTTTTTCAAACTGAAAGGAAATGATATCGAACTACAGGTCCTCAGAAAGCAATGAAAAGCATCAGTGATGGTAAATGGCTGGGTAAATACAAATTCTTTTTTTCTTAAAAATTTTGTTATCTAAATGACATAGAATACATGACTGTTTAGGGCAAGAATTACATCATTGTCCTATAGGCTTATAATATATATAGATGTAACATGAAGAGGGGAAATACAAGAGTTCTACATTTATATGCAATAATATATTAACTGCAAATGGACTGTGAAAAGTTGATATATATTGTAACTCCATAACAATCACTAAAACAGTAATGTATAGAAGTGTAGCTAATAAGATAACTAAATTTTTAAAATATTCAAATATTTAAAATGCATGAAAGAAAGAAGAGAAAATAGAACAAATAGACAAATAATCAAATTACATACTCAGATACAGCGATAGCAAAATTTCATTAAACATTAATGATTAAACTTTTCAGTGAAAGGCAGAGGTGGTCAAAATGGATAAAGAAGCATGGCCCAACTATATACAAAGAGGTGAACATTATAAGAACAGAAAAGATGTGCATTATAAAAAAATTTATATGTAAATTCATAAATTGGTTAAAACTAACTGGATGGGAAACATATACCATGCAGACAGTGGGCTGGAGTGAGTATATTAATATGAAATAAAGATTTGAAGACAAAAGTAATGTCATTAGAGATGAAGAACTTTTCATAATTATAAAATGGTCAGTCAAACATAGCAATCATACCTGTGTATGGCCTAATAGCAAAACATTAAATGTAGAATACTAAAATACATGAAGCAAAAGTTGGCAGAATTAAAAGGAGAAATAGGTAATTCCATCAATGTTGTCTTTGGAGAGTTTTAACCTCAGCAATTGATAAACAACTGGACAAAAAAATCAGCAAAAACAGAGTCTAAACAATACAACTAGCTTGACCTGATTAATATTTATAAAACACTAAACAGCCTAGTTGGCATGGTTCAGTGGTTGAGCATCGACCTATGAACCAGGAGGTCACAGTTCAATTCCCAGTCAAGGCACATACCTGGATTGTGGGCTCTAACCACAGTGTGGGTCATGAGGAAGCAGCCAATCAGTGATTTTTCTCTCATCATTGACGTTTCTATCTCTCCTCCTTCCTCTCTGAAATCAATAAAAATATATTTAAAATATATATATATATATCTTATATAATAAAGCCCAGCCACCAAATGACAGAACGACTGGAACCACTGCAGCCCCTCTCCCCAGTTGGCCCTGCCCCCCAGTTGGCCCCATCTGGATGGGCCAGCTGGCCCCCCACCAGTGCATGAATTCGTGCACTGGGCCTCTAGTTTAAAAATAAAGCACTAAACTACTGTATAAAACATACTCTCTGAGTTGCATGGTACATTCACCAGAATAGCCATACTCTGAGCTATAAAACATCTCAAAAACATAAAAATACTCAAGTCATACAGAGTTTGCCCTCTGACCACAGTGGAATTAAATTAGAAATCAATAACAAAATATTTAGGAAAACCCTAAGTATTTGGAAATTAAACTACAAATTTTTTTTAAAGAAAACTACAAACTTCTAAGTAACCATGAGTAAGAAAGAAATCACCAGGGAAATGAGAAAATTTCTAAAACTGAATGAAAAATGTAGACCCTGAGATACCCCCAAAAAGGGCTTCTGATGGCTAAAGCTCAAAGTTAAAAAAAAAAAAAAAAAAAAAAAAAAAAAAAGGAGCCTAGCAACCATTCCTAAATGGGCCTTTCATGCAAGCCACCCTTAAGGGAGAAGCCTACAACTGAACTGCCTGCCTCCTGCAGTTATCTGCAGCCTGTGTTCCCGAATCTGAGCCAGGCCTTATAAGAAGTTCCTGGAATCCTATTTCAACCAACAGGACTTGAGACTTTTCTTATCAAATCAGACAGCCTGAATGGGAAAAGATATTCATCAATGGTACATCTGTTAAAGGGTTAATATTCAAAGAATTCATACAACTTAATCCAATTAAAAAGTAGGCAGAGGCCCCTAGCTGGTTTGGCTCAGGCCTATAGACTG